AATCAGAGAATATGAATTATAAGTGCAAATAATTATTCATAACAACATTCGTCTAATCCGTTTTATTTATATACCTGTGTAATTTAATAAAAAGATGTACGATGATAATATCGATATTTCATTAATGATCAAAAGTTGTTTACGATAAATAGAATAAAATACAAGATATAAATTTGGTACTTGTTAAAAATATGTACATGTGCATGTACAAGTGCGCGCGCGCGCGCGCGCGCGCGCGCGCGCGCGTGTGTGTGTGTGTGTGTACATGTGTGTATCATAAACCAAAATAATATTTCGTGCATGAATGTTACGCGAATTAATCCGACATCTCTTGTCGAGTTTCGATTAAAATGAGCGCGTCATAGGATGACGCCCATCGTACTGAATGATATCTCGCGATATAACCTTTATACGAGACAACATGTGTATTTATACACACAATTTTTTCATGGAGTTGCACGTTATATGAGACACTGTAAATTTTCCCCTCATGTCTTGTCTATGTAGTTACATTCGTCAAGTCCTTCTTATAAAATATCTTAATCCAAATCTCTTTTTTCTTTTTAGATTCGACATAAAACACTCGTTCATTAAAAATAAAATTTGCATCTTCTATAAATCTATATATTATAAATAATTTAATATTTTGCATGATACATAATGACATTTTGTAATATAAAAGATTAAAATTAAACATCCTTTTGTAAAAATTATGCTTTTTACAAAAAATGTAAGAACTCTTAAAAATTTAGAACTGATTAATACTGATTATTTTCTATTCGTTATTAGTTTTTTAAAATGATCCCTATTTATGATTTCCTATTTATTATTTTAAAGCTTAACACTGACATCAGCACATCATGGAAAAATCATAATTTAATTTTTAAATTACAAAACTTATAAGACGGAATCTATTTATCTTCGCTAAATAAAAATAATAACATTATACAAAATACATCAGATTTTTATTTTATGCATTTTCGCCACGCGTGATCGCGTCATAATACCGGTGCGGTTTAACAACTCGACTAAGAGCGACATGTTACACGGTAAAATGTCCGAAAATGTCTGTCATCACTATGCCAGTCACGTAGTTATCAGCCGCTATCAGTAGAACGAGTTCTTCAAATTGCTCAAGATTCTTATTTTTTCATCTCCATCGTTCTGAGATCCAAGGAAACGACTCCCGCTTCGCGACCTGAGCATGACCTAGGTTTCCATCCCGTGAAAAATAGTCTCGGATAGACCGCTTTTACGGATACGTTGCAACACATAACATGAGGTTTTTAGACATTCAGAATCGTACATGATGGCGGCATGTGACAACAAAGAGGACAAAGTTGTGAGAACGGAGCTCTCTTCGTTACCTTCCTCAAAACTTACAGACTGAGAGATACTTCTTGGATGTGCCTAGATAATTTTATTAGCAAGAAAACAAAAAAAAACGAACATCGAGACGTACGTTGTAAATATACAACGTACAAACGGAATTTTTAGGCTTAATTCATATTTTTCCGACTAATTATTTAGAAACAAATCATCTTGAAAATTAAATTAACGTGGTTTTTTTTTATGAAAATACAAATTACACGAAAATAAAGATAATTATAGTTTTTTAAAATCATAATTGCGATATGTACTGACCAAATACTCGTTTTGTGAAAAAGCCAGGTGTAAGTTTCAGCTAGGAGCTCCGAGGAATTTGACCTCTCGGGGTCAATTCGCAACCCGTTGCAGGCTCCAAAATTGCTGCGGAGGCCGCGCTTGATCAAGATTCGCCGTTAATCCATCCCGAGGTTAAGGAACACCACTGGTCTTCGTTTTGCCTCGCCTCCGCTCAATTAAATTCTACTTCAGGGAGATTATTTCATAAATCACATCCTGTCCTGAACACACGCGCAGACGTCCCCACCCCCATCCATTTTCTCACCCACTTGTTCCTTCACCACATAACAATTTGCCACTATTATTTGAAGGACGAGACAAAGGCAAGACCATTAGGATGCGTTACACCTACGAACCCTATACAGGTTACCGGTGAAAATAACCATCTCACTTGATACACATAATTAAATGTAACGCGAGTTTTAGTTTTATTTTAGAAGCGAAAATTTTTTTTACTTTTATTCTCTCATCCTACCATCCTACCATACTGATCCATGAACAGAGGAGTTCTCGCAGAAAATAGCGTGAAAGCAGGAAACATTTTTTTTTTCCGTATATAATAATATCTTTATTCGTACGCGTCGCGTCGCGCAGAATTCCAGGCGCGAGAGTTTAACTCACGTCACGCCTGAGGGATAATGAGGGAAGAAATGCGCGAGTTATGCAATTCACGAAAGAAGCGAAGAGTCAGTCGTCCGTATAATAAAAAAAAACCCGTACGCTCGCATTCTTGCATACCCATAGATCGGTCGTGGCACGGTCGAGGGAAAATTCTATCGCGTTTCACGAGCATCTCGGTCTGCTCGGTAGTGCCGACAACTCGGCAGCGACCACAAGCGATGCCCGACACGGGATTCCGCGGATTCGCATGTCGCGGCATTTAATTATTTTCACGTTGAAATTTCGCGCTTGCCCGAAATGACGCCCTGTCCATCCTCTCGCTCCTCGCCCTCGCGTCACAGCGGCGGTATTACGGTATCCGGGTATACCGATCCTACGTAACAATTTAATAGCACAGTATCTCCAACCGACACCACCTGGCGGCCAGGTATGCCACATCAAAGTCTTTATTAGGCCCCGATTGAACGTTACTGCGGCCCCGCTTGCTCGCACGCCGCCGTGCAATATCGGCAGCGGAGTGTCCGCTTCACATCTTCGAGTGTGTACAGGCTAAAATCTCGGGTTGCACCGATATTGATTCATTCTGATATCAATACATTTTCCCCTTTCTTGTCTGTATTATATGTATCAGATATATTACTTATCTTAAAAATGTGTTAATTATATTTTTTATATTAGATAAAAATAGCATTTGAATGTTAAATGTTAC